TCACACACACACACACACACACACACACACACACACACACACACACACACACACACACACACATATATATATATATATATATATATATATATATATATATATATATATATATATATATATATATATATATATATATATATATATAACTAGTCACCTCTTAAAACAGTTGGTATGACGCTTGCGCTGTATCGTAATGTTCCGGGTTCGATTCTCAGTAGTGGATGTACACTGTTGATGAGTCTCACATACAGGACGAAACGGCCGTCCAGTGCTTTCTGCATTGTGTTGAAGATTCTTCTAGACTCAATGTATCACTTAAATTTCAAATCCTCCTAATATATATATATATATATATATATATATATATATATATATATATATATATATATATATAAAAAGTCAACATAGAAATCAACACTTAGAGGCGACAGTCTGTTTCAGAAACAAACTGTCGCCTCTAAGTGCTTACTTATGTTTACACACCTCTATCTCTGATATTGAGCACTTTATCCCATAAATATAGCACACCTTAAGACTATATATATATATATATATATATATATATATATAACTTATAAATAGTTATACTCGTCTGGAAAAAACCTTAGGTGTTTTGGTTTGTAAATAAACAAACCAATGCCTAAAGGAAAATAAAGGATAAAAAAGGAAAGAACTGAAAACATGTAATTGAGGCGATAAGAATCGTCCAGAATCCAAGCTCAGAGTCCAAAGAAAAAATATACCAAAACGACTAAAGCAAAAGTAACCGAATAAAATGCTCAATACACTAAGTAAAGCAATTCTAACTATGAACCTAAAGAGCGTGCATAGGTTTATCTGGCTCTTTAGGTTCATAGTATATATATATATATATATATATATATATATATATATATATATATATATATATATATATATATATATCATCAAAATGAAGAAAATTTAAACTGAGGGTAACAAAAATTTGGTTCTCCAGCAGAATGTTGAGAATACCATTTACCAAATCAGTTGAATTTCGACCCCGGCTTGACGAAATCGGTTGTCTAGCCACACTTATAATTTTGAACTGTGAAACAGCGAAACAGTTTGTCTGTTGATCTCACACACACACACACACACACATATAATTATTGATGTATGTTTCATTAAATAATATAGACAAGTTTTGTCTATTTATTTTAAGTAAGTTCCTTCCATATTGCCTGGTAAGTTTAATAACATTATCATTGAAAGACGAAATGATATCATCATATTGATACATCTTTAAATCCAATCGAAGCTTTCGGCTTACATAAGCCATTATCAAAGATGACAATTACTTTTCAATATATCAACCAATACACGGACGAAACAATAATGATTGTCTGTTTTTTTTGCATGAAAAATTTCAAAGCAACGACTAACTCGTGTAGACGAGACATGGAAGCGAAAATCGCACCTCGTGACGTCACACATGACCACGCGGGAGTGAAAACGAGAAGTATTAAATATAGATAATTATTAAATAAGTATTATATAAGTATTAAATATATATAATTATGTTATAAGAAAACAGAAAAAAGAAATTGTGAGTAAAAACTGTTTATTTTCGTATTGTATTTTTACCACAGGCGTTTTTTACCTTATTTTTTAATTACTGAAGCTGTTTTATATTCATTTATAATCTGTTTTTTTTTATATTTCTAAAATCATGGTGACCTTTGTATGACGTAATTTGGTACAAAAAATCTTCCTTGATCAAGTGATGAAAAGATATAATTAAAAAAGGAAAACATGAGATAAAAAATGAGAATAAAATTGTGTAATAAGAACCTAAAAAGGAATTCAACTCGTCACTCAAAAAATAAATAAACAAATAAAAACAATAAGACATTATAAATGAATATCTCTGCAAATGGTATAGCATCCACAAGAACAGCCGTATCTATTTCATTCTTTTTTATCTATCTCTTTCGAATATCTTACTTTCTTTGTTTCCCTCTTTCGAACATTCAAAGTACATCTTCCATTTTTCTACCAAATTCTTCCTTACTTTACTTCATTTTTTTAAACGGTCACCTCCTTATTTTCTTTCTTTTGAGCCGTCAAAGTAAAATACTTCTATCCTTTCTTTCGAAGTATCAAAGTAAAATCCTTTATGTTTCCTTTCTGTCAAAGTAAAATTCTTCCTTCGAACAATCAAAGTACATTCTATCCTTTCTTCCTTTCTTCGGACCGTCAAAGTAGATTCCATTCGTTCTTACGTTATATCTTTTGAACTGTCAAAGTAAAATCCTTCCTTCTAATTCTTAACCATTAGAGTAAAATTATTATTTTTTTCTTTTGAACCGTCAAACTAAAATCATTCTTTTCTTTCTTTCGAAACGTTAAAAGAACATTTCATCTATCCTTCCTTTCTTTTGAACCATCAGTAAAATTATTCCTACCTTTCTTCTGAACCGTCAAAGCACGTTCCATTCTTCCTTCCTGATCAGACGAATCCTTCCTTTTTTTTTCGAAC